CCCCAAAACCCCAAAACCCCAAAACCCCGCCAAATAAAATTTTAATTGAAATATTAGTACTTATACAATATAGTAATTTAAATAAAATATGAATAAAGGGAGCAAAACTGTCCAAAAAGGTAAGCTACAGAACCCCACTGAGACATCCAAAGAGCCTTGTTATCGACCCTTCTGAGCCTTATTCCTGGCTCTAAAGCCTCTTATCCCATCTATGGAGCCTAATTTTGTAGACCTACACATAGCTACAGTGAAAAGGATTGAGAATGAATCATACAGAGGGTATAGAACTCCTTCTCATTCATATATTCTCACTGTAATTCTTAGAGGCCATTTTCGATTGGAACCCAGTAATTTTGAGACCTTTGAAAAAATTTCGTATTTCCCCATTTTTGTTTCACAAAATTTTTGTACAAAATTAGGCAATTTGACAGCGAAGTGCATTTTGGGATTCAGAAAATAGCCTCAGGAAGAAAGATAGGCATTATGGTTTGATACTCATGAGATTTTTGGAGATTTTGATCAACGAAATTTTGAAAAATTACTAATTTTTAAATTTCATGACATTTTTGCTTCAAAAATTTCTTTTCATACGATTTTTATCACTAAAATTATAAGTTTTCATCAATTTTACTAAGATCTTCGGTGTATTCAAAGAAATAGCTTCAAATATTTGATAAGAGCAAGATACAATACTTACCGCCATGATCTCAGGACTAAAATTTTAGGTGGGGTTTGATAATTTCTGGCCTTTCCAATGTGTATTATTCAAAAATGATTCATTTTGATTGGATCCCTAATTTAAGTCACAATTTATGGCTTCTAAGATCAATATATTAGAAAGTATTTATAATTTCTTGCAAAGACTTCCAAAAAGTGTCAATAATTTAATAAAGATACTGAAATCTTGCTTATCCAAATATTGTTCAAACCCGCTTTCAAAATTCAAAAATTTTCTCTGATTAGGAAGATATTCTGAATATTCGAAATGCTGGGAGGTTCAAACCCTTCATAATTCTCTTTTCTATACTTCCTCCAACCCTGCCTCATCATTGTATATAGTGGAAAAGATGGAAAAGGTGAACCAGAAGCCAGAAATTGTAGATATTGATGACATTAACAATCTCACCAAAGAAGACTCTAGTACTGCTTACTTTGATAATTCCACTGTAGTTTCTTCCCCAAAAGACAACTCGAAAACACTTGGCATGACAGTTAGTTTATTAAATAAAGCTGATAAAATCATCGAGCCCATCTGCATCGATGATGATGATGACGACGAGGAAGAGAAAGAAGAGGACAGATTCAATTTCAGGAAGACAAACTCACTCAAGAAGAGAGATATCAAGCAAGTACATAAGACCAAATACGAAGCTGAAACCTATGATGGCATTTACAAGAGCCATGAGTCACTAAGTAAGCATCATTTGTGAGCAATTTAGATAAAACTAAAGAGAAATTAGCTGAAAAGCATCTAGAGGACTTCCTTGAGTCACAGAATGCCAAGAAATTTCATAATTCAACCAATGAAACTATTAAAGGTTGGGTTAGACAAACAGGATGGGGTCCTACCAAGATCATTAAATACTTAGATAAATTCGCTGAGGCCTTTTCGTTCCTTGCGAGTGGAGAGCCAAAGACCTTTTCCAGGGTCTTCAGAACTATCCATAGTATGGCCATAGAGAAAAATAAAGAGATCGAAGAGCTTATTGTCTACCCAGACAAGGAAAAAGAAGGAGCCATCCTGGATTATCTTGACAAAGCAAAGCATAGTATCAAGATATGTGTAAACCAATTCACTAATGAACAAATTTTGAACAAACTCAAACAGATGAAGTACAGAGGAGTGAGCGTTCAAATAATCTCTGATATTAAATGAAGAGTCAAACTCGCTCCATACTATGCAGCAATGGAAGGAATGGAATTTAGACACACCTCAATAACTCCTGGAGCACAGCTACACCATAAATTTGCTGTAATAGATACAAAGTTCGTCATCAACGCAAGCTTCAATTGGACTACAAATGCTGTTAAAAAGAACCACGAAAACATCATGATCACATCAAGCAAGAACTTTGTAAGAAAGTTCAACAGCGTTTTCGATAAAATGTGGATAGAACTGCCATACACCCTCACAAAGGAAGAGTCAAAAGATTTCATCAAGACAGAAGAGAGATTCCAAAGACATCGTGGATATCCAGAAAATTAATTGATTTATTATTTTCATACTTGTCGAAGTTGCATGGGGTTTTGGGGTTTTGGGGTTTTGGGGTTTTGGGG